TGAAGGCCACTGAAAATCATTTAATAGCCATATAATTTATTCTGGATTAAAAAAAATAAATAATTCAAAGAACATAGCAACATTAGCAGCTAATGGTTAGCCAGTCGTTGAGTTCTGACAGTCACTCTGTCACTGTTTATTTTGATATTTGGTAACGTCCTAAAGTCCAAATGTATTTTTTTTATATATATGTATTTTTCACCTAAATACTTAAAGTGGCTTCCCTTCTTTATAAATGCTACCATACAAATTATTTTAAGGATTTGTGAATTTCCCTCTGCGATTAATAAAGTACATTCATTCATTCACTGGTTGAAGTCACATGCTAAGACCAAATGGGTGATGCTTGCTGAAGCTTAAGATTGCCTAGAATCATTGTGGTGTTTTAGTACCATAATGTACTAAACAACACAAGGATGTCACGTGACCTTGTGACATAAAATCTTGTTGCACCTCCTTTAGATTGATTAACTTGGTCAGAAATGGTCTCTCTGCCCAGACTTATTAGCGGACACTAATTTAAAAATCAAGTACAAGGATCTGGAAATAAATGTTTCTCTTTACCTTTTTAATTCCAATTGGAAAAAATGCCCTTTTCAAACTTTTCAATCAAAGTAATTACTGATGTTCTCGTAACTTCCAAGTGTATTTTTTCATATATATTTTCACCTAAACACTTACTGTGCCTTTATCCTCTCATCATTACCCCACCAGAGGTTCTCTATCCTCCCTCTTCCTCATGTTGGAGGTAAATTTAATCTAACTTTGTCAGCCTTAATGAAAGAATCCACATATCTCATTTAGCGGGTATGTGTGGGAGGTTAAGGTAGGACCTTCGGGAGGATAACAAAACAACACGGTACTCATTTTATGCACATCTCACATGCCCCTTATTGCTTCGACTGGGATGTATTTTAGTCGACGGGGATTATTTAGATTAAAAAAAAAAACCTCCAGTAATCGAACTCACGTTTCCAGTTTGCTCCCACGTGAGAAAACCGTAGATAAAACAGTTGTGCAAATTTTTTTTTTAAACCACAAGGAGAATTCTGATCATCGCTTATGTGTTTTTTTATTTTTTATTTTTTTTATGTAACAGAACACCGAAGGATTAAATTAACTTTAGGTTTCAGTGGGAATTTAATCTGATCGGTGTATCTCAGGCAAACATTTTTGGAGATAAGCTACATCATCTGCTTTTCGCCACAAACAGCTGCAGCCACAACATCTGTTTCCTGACAGTTTGGATCCCCATGGTGAGCTAAGGGTTGTTTAAAGCTGAAAAATCCTAAGAAGCTGGTGGCACGAGTTCAACAGTAATCAAGTGCTAATCTTTTATTTGTCTCGATGATAAATACTTCTTCAAATCTGATGAACACTGGTTGCAAAGAGGCAGTTCAGCTTCATTGAGGCTAAAGAAATGTGATAACTTGCAAACAGGTAAATGAGAGAAATATTATTCCATCAGTTTGCTCTAAAGTCAAACAATAATGTGAATTGTTACCACAAACACCATCATAATGCACTCATAGTGCTTTGTACAATGCAATGTCATGCATTTCCTTGGGACTTCACAAGAAATGAAAACACCAAGACGTACATTATTGTAACGTGGAATGAAAATTACACAATGCTTTCAGTTTTTAGACTTAAATAAAAAACTGCCTTAGAAAAATTGTCTTTGTCTACAAGAGCATAATCTAAGCAAATGATTTTAGACTTTTTTTTATTTATGTAAAGTAGTGTTTTATTTGGTTGTTTGAACATGCATAAATAGTTTCAGCTTTTGGAGCTAATTTGGTCTCATTCCCAAGTTCTCAGAACAAGCTGTGGCTCTTGAACCTCCATGTTCACGCTGCACTTTTGTGAAGAAGAAAAAAGGTTAAAAAAATAAATAAATAAATAAGGTAAGCTACTTACTACTGGCGTAACGGCAGCAAACGGTTGTTCTATAAAGTATTTCCAGTGGGATGGATAAAAATGCTCAACACGTTATTCAAATTTTCATCAAAAACCACGTTTTATTACACTACCACTTTAATGTTATGAACTATTTTGGCTTAGTTTACTGTAAAATGTCACCATAAAACATACATATGTAAGAAATGACCGAATGTGAAAAAAGGTCAGAGAGTATTTTCACTTCAGAGTGATTTTGCTGAGCTCTTTATTTGTCTCATCATGTGCCTTGAAAGCCACCTGTACTTTCTTTGGACGAGGATTCCTCTAAAAATCAGAAAATCACTGCTTTTCTCTTTAGTCTCATATTTACCCCACAGAGATTCGTGTCTCCCCCCCCCCGCCCTGCACCCATTCTATATCTCTGACCCCTGCCACAGTCAGTAAAGTTCTGATGGGAAGCTACATAACACTGCATTGTCTGATCAGGTGTTGTTGAGTAAGCGAGTTTGCCGGCCTGATCTCTTGGGGTCAGCTTAATCCTATCCTGTGCTGGATGTCTCCTTGTAACCCGGTCCGCTGTCCGCCCGCCGGGGCCTACGTTTGTGTTCCAACACTCGACTGGCCCCTCGGATGCTTACTCCTACGACATACTACTGCACCTCTCCATGCCAAACAGCTGCAAGATGTCTAGGTTAGCACAATGTTTGCGTGCTCTGGTTTGTAATGACTCAGCTAGCAGTTTTTGTTGCCCTTTTGAGGTTTTGACACTGCGAGGCGTTTCAGCAGTCACCGCAGACATTTCCGTGTAAATAAACCGTGTCAAAACAAAGCGGCGGCGGCGCAAACATTACAGTCCGAGACGCCCACCCCTTTCCCCTTTGAGCTAGAGTCACCCTTGAGCAAACCAAGAGGTGGGTTGTTGATAAATCGCGACACATTAATGAGCTGAATTGATCGTAAAAGAGGGCAACACTGCAGATCGCTGATGGCGAAAGGGCCACCCCCTTCAAAGGGCCCTTCTTCAAAGTACGGAGATCGCACCGGAAACTCTGGTGGAGGCTGACGAGGAGAACAGAAGCATCTAAAATAAGGCCGGCATTGTGCTTTGTCACTGATCTCGTTCCGTCACAGATTTGCAGCAGGTTTTATGGCTGTCCTTACAGTTGTGGAAGCCTGTTGCTTTATGGTAGTAGTAAATATGTGGGAGATTTGTTTTCTTCTTCTTCTTCTTTTAAACATCAGGAGAGCACATTTCTGACGGGACACTAATATGACAGGTTAAACTCTGCTACTTAAAATGTAAGACCCTGTAAGTTGTTTGCTGCGTAAGAGAATACATTACCATATTTTCACTCTAAGAAGATGCTTGTGTAGCGACGAAATATCCCTTAATCTGTTTTTACTTTACCGTGTGTAAAGTTTCAAGCTTTCTTTCTTTAACCAGGTGTCGTGCTCTAAATGGCACTCTTAGTAAAAATAATTAAAAAAAAAAACTAATTTAAAAAAACTCATATATATTGATATATATATATATCAATATATTTGATGTGTATTGATGAGTTTGCTGATGGCACTTGACAAAATGCAATGTCTGTTACTTGTCGTCAGCTGTTGACGACATGATGTGTTTTCATTATGTAAAGCACCTTGAGCTGCCTTGTTGCTATACAAATGAACCTGATTGATTGATAACACATAACTTGTTCATCAGTGAAATAATAAGTATTTAATGTTTCCTAACAATCAGAGTTCCCAAAGTCAATCAGGTAGACGAACATGTGGATGACCTGTAGAAAAGAGAGTTGATGAAACAAACCCAGGTTGATCTGAAGAGATTGTGGAAAGACATTCTGTCAAAGATCCCTTGGTTTTTACAAAACAGGGCTGTGTACTAAATTAAATTTAACATTCTATTTTCCAACTTTGGCACCAGTATCGCTTGCCTGATGCGCGTTTTCCCCTTTTCAAAGCTGAACCCACAAGCCGAGGGTCTGAGGGTCGTCACGTATGCACGTCAGCTCAAGTGAAGATGACAGACGAGGAAAGGATGAGTGGCAGCAGCATCGTCTGTCAGTTCAACATGGAATTGTCTTTTATTGGCTTTGTCCATTACCCATTTAGTATTTATAAATACATATTTAAAAGCAAAGGCAATAAAACTTCCTGAAATGTAAACTACTAAATTAACTCATGACACATTTTTGAACTTTTTTTTAAAGAGAACTTGCCAAAATTCGGTACTGAATCATTAATCCTGCATATGATAAGGTTCAATATTACATGATAGGATATATGCAGCCCCAGAGTCTTCTCTTGAGTCTTTTCTTTCAAAAATAAACTTCAGATGCTATTTACATAGACAGAAAATAGACATGTGAGCCATAGCTGCAGCGTATTGTGCTGAACCCTTTTTCATCCTTTATCCCACATGCAATTGGGAATATAAATCCTCTCTAAGGATCTCTCAGTATATCTGTACCCTTAAAAAGCTAATGCACCTCACGTAACCCTGGCAGCTAACACAGAGAACGGGACATCCCAGGAAATGTTTACGTTTTCGTGGAAGCATAATGATAATGCAGTAACTCTGTGTAGAGCTTAGAGGCATTTGATTCATGTCCACATATCCCCTCCCCGCCTCTCCGCCGCCACCCCACCCTACCCCGCCTCTGTTGGCACCGCAATGCCAGCCAAACATCTGGTATGATTATGTAAACAGACAGTTGTTTTTTTTTTTTTCCTGAAAGCCACGGATTTCTGAGTTTGTCTAAAAGGGAAGCGGCGTGCTTATACTAAGAGAAATGACTGACGCACAATATCATTTTATAATTTTATGTCACATGGATAAGTCTGTTGTGGTTGTTGTAGCAACACAAATGAGTTATGGGGATTTTAATGGCGCAATGGCTTTTGATTGGCTGGAGATTATCACTGTACGCATAAGAGCTCTTTTTAAACTAGTAAAACCACGATAACCACAACAGGCAAATATATTAACTACGTTTTTGTTTGTTTTTTAAAGCAACTTTAAAAACTCTTATCTCCAAATTTAAAAAGCAATTAGCAAGAAAGACGAGGAAAAAACATGAGTAACTCACCTGGTCTTTTCTCGTTACGACCTTTCCGACCCCCGCATAGTCGAACCTTGGATATCAACACCAGAATCTGCTTCTGGCACAAGGACTTGTTGCTCTTGGGACAGGGCTTGCGCTTGTTGGCGACCGGTCGGTTGGCTTGGTCGTCCTTTACTGCCCGTTTCTGTCTGATGAGAGAGCTGGCGAGAGCTGCCATCTTCTGCCCCCCTCACACCTTTGGGAGGGGGGTGTCTTCTTTCCCTGTGCTCCCTTTGCTGATTTGTCTTTTTGCTTTCCTCAAGAAAACTAGAGTAGGACAGATGTTTGAAGGAAACCCCCAAAGGGGAGATTGGGCAACTAAGTGGGTTAACAGCACAGAGTTTAACTTGACAGTTCCCTTGGAGAGGGAAGATCTGTAAAATCAGATGTAGTCCACCGTAAAGAGTCCAGTCAAGGACAAAAATAATAAAAACATAAACGTATCGAAGAGCACAAAAATGTGCTACAGTCACATTTTTAGAACAAGGTTAGAACTGACTTCTGAAAGGTGGGTGGGGAGGGAGACGGAGACATGTTTCTAACCTTCTTCCCCACTCATCTTTCACATCAAGAGGTGCCTCACAAGCCAAGTTCAAAATGTTATATTCCCAAATAGCTAACCTACTTTTAAACAGACAAAAGCAAAAGAGAAGGCGCTCAATTTGTGTCACATATAAAAACTCTTCGACTGAAGAAAAGTGAAGTCATCCTGGATGCTAGGAAACTCTGAAAAGCGCAAGAAAAGCCAAAGTGTTTGTCACCCATCGTACAGTCCACAGAGGTCCAACTTTGCCTCCCATCCGAACGTGGCACCACGGAATGATGAGCGGATGGTCCCGGTGGTATTCCGGCCGACTTAAATCCAGAGGTGGGAGAACAGCAGCAGGAGGGACGCTGGGGGTCTTTGTCAGAACAAAGCGGAGACATGGACACAGACAGACAAGAGACTCCTCTTCTGCCTCCGGATGGCACGCTCCTTTCCCACAGCCCTCACAGATCCCCCCCTCCCCACCCTCGCCTCCTCCTCCTCCTCCTCTCTTCCCCCTCCCATTCAAAGTCAGCGAGCGCTTGCAAGAGTATGTGTGTGTGGATTTCGGCAGCCACCATCAGTAGAGGTGACATTCATGAGAAAGAGAGAGAGAGAGAGAGAGAAATAGAGATGAGGGGTGTGGGGTGTTGTGGCGAGAGGATATACGGGGGAGGTAAGGATGAGGGGATGCTGTGATGTGTAGGAAAAGAGCTTGCCTAGAAAAAGGATAAAAATGAGGGAGGAAGACGGGAAACGGCGCAAAGAGCACAATTGTGTTATTTTACAGAAATATCCCCTTAAAAAAAAAAAAAAAGGCTTAAATCATTTTGACTGCCAGACTGAAACAGAGGGGGTGGGGCGAACACGAGGAGGGAGGAGAGGACAGAGGAGCAGATTGTGACAATTTTCTGACTCCTCAAGAGGAACAGCTTCACCCTGAGATACCTTTCCAACACGTTCCTGAATCAGAGGGCAGTATCATCGTACAGATATCAATCTCCATCTCTGTTTAGTGTTTATCCTAAATTCTCTGACCCTTATTTCCCACAGTGAAGTTAGGGTTAGGATAAATCAAGTGATTTTGCTTCCTAATATCGACCGCTGACTTACCTTAACTCTGACAACAGCACAAACTTGGACAGATCCAGTGTGACAGCTAAGAAAAACAAACACACAAACAAACTTAACACAGATCAAGTCTGAGCAACCAGAGAGTAGCAAATCACCCACTCAAAAACAAACATTCACACAGGACGCAATGGAAGATCCTCGTGTTAGATTCTCAAGACTTCAAGGTCAAATATAATAGATGATTTCGGAAATTCAACCCGAGACCCATCACAGACACCAGAACGACCAAAGGGTGCTCCAAGCGGTCCCACACCAGCCAGGAGTGGCTGGTGTGGGACCGCTTGCAAATTCAAATAAAGCAAACCGCTTGCAAATTCAAATAAAGCAAATTCTGCTGAAGGTCATAACCAGTTAATGTCTTACCAACAGTAGATAGACCTCTTGGTGTCTTGATTAAATATAAATCCAGACTAGCTGAGGCTAACAGCTAGGCTAGCTGTTAGCTGGGATCTTTACTTAAGATCCAAGGAGAGTTATGTAAGCTAAAATAACTACATTAACAAAAACAAACAACACCAAAGCAGTTGTATGCTTAAGCAGCATGTAAACAGCATTTAATTAACATTGTTGTCACATTTGTATAGGACTGTGATTTACAGAGAAGCTGTTGATTATTTACACAGAGGGGGCAAAAAAGCGAGGCAGCAGTGTGCCAGCGATGATCTATATGTGAAATGTACTTGGAACTGAACGTGTAAATCTTTGCCTGTCACAGCAACAGGCTAATAAAGTGTAAAAATCAATAAAACACTGTTCACTTAAAAGCTATAATTTTGGGGGAGTGTTTTACACCACTTCCATTTATTTGAGAGAGTTACTCTGAATTGCCCCCTTTTGTGGGACAATAAACACAATTTCTAGAGGTGAGGTGGTGGCTGGGGGTGGTGAGCATGAACGCAGAAGCCCAGGTTGTAGAAGAAAATGATGAATTTAATGAAGATGCTCAAAAACAGTCCAGATCAGGCAGCACGGCAGAAAGATTAGCACACAACTAAATACCGGTAGCAACTGAAAACCTGAAGACTGAAAACGAGAGCTAGACCAACACAGGACTTAACATTTCGTCTGGGAAGGTAAGCGGACCAACGATGAATGACGTAAACACAACATATGACAAGGATCCGACAAGAGACAAAAACAACAGGTGGGATTAAATACACAGGGAGGGTAATCAAGGAATGAGACACACCTGTGAAGCAATCAACGGGGAAGATGCAGAAACAGCAGACTCAGGACAGAAACTGAACACAGAAAAACCTTAAAATAAATACACAGAAACACGGATCATGACAGTAGTCTACTCAAACCAATTTCTGAACAATCTTGTTTTGCCCATCTTTTGTTGCCCTGTTTAATTTTCCTAAGCAAACAAGGTTTATATTTTTGTGTTTTATTTTCACCAAACAATAGCTGACCAATCGACAGTCTTTTTGTCATTCCAAGCAAAAACTTTAATCTTTTGATTAAATAGTAAATGTAGTCGTAGACAAAATGCGAATACCTCATTATGGAATCTGATTCAGAGCTCAACACTGGGAAAAAAATTGCGTTCCTTCTTGTCCAAACCCTTAAACTACAACCCGATAAATCAGCTTAACGGAGGTCTAATCAATCCCATTTTATGTGGCTTGGGATCTCCTTTACAAGCCAATTTCCAGGGAAACCAGCAGCGAGCATGACTTAAAAAAGCAAGGTCAATCGCGATAGTTTCTAACCATGCCAAACAAGGGCGCCGGCTGTCAACGCTTGATTAGCAGGTGACAGCAGATGTTCCGTCTCTTTGGAAGGACGAGGGCAAGGTGGGGTTAGCGGAAAGGGAACCGCAGATGAAGGAATTTAATTTGTATTGATGTGGAAACAGTAAAGATTATATTTTTTTCCCCTCTCTCCCTTTCTAATGACGTCCCCACCCCTCCCTGCCGCCATTCACCAACCGTCCCCCCAGTCACTCACTTGTCTTCCTGCTTTGGGTTGAGAATCAATCTCCTAATGGACATTGCATTACGCACATTGCCAAAAGTTGTTCTCTGTCTTGATTGTTTCTGCTTGCAAGTACACGCCAAGTTACACCAAACGAAAGCTAAGTTGGGACTGTCTCAAGGTTAAGAAATGTTTCCATCATTCTAATGAAATTTTGTGACAAAAAGCAAGTGAACACATTAAGAATGAAACCATCTTGTACTTTTCCAAAAAGATCCAAGAGCCTCTATGAGCACAGCACACCTAACAGCTACAAACTCGCCATGTTGTGACTCTGTACAATATAAATTATTTGATTTGAGATCAAAATTAGACGTGTATACACATCTGATCCATTCAGGATATGCTCTACAGCATCCCAAAACTTTGGATAATCATCATAAAAGTCTTTTTAAAATTAAGAAAATTCAGCATACATCCCTTTGAAAGTAAGAAGTATAGCAAATGAATATTACATCATGTGTCTCTATAGGAATTGTCTTCATCTAATATTAAAAGGCGATTAAATGAAGATGTTTTGCTAAAAACAACCCATTCCCCCAGCAAGCTCAGAGTATTCATAGGAAGAAACCCGAATGCCCCGAGAAATTAAACCAACACTTAATTTTCAAGATTCACAGATACAAAAAAGAGAAAGGTAAACAATTGGTTTGATTTTGATTACATAAGCCAAATGGTCAAATGTTATCTGAGGAAACGCAGTTGTTTTCGATTAATTTGTCACCTGAACAAAATGTGGGCGAGAGAGGAAAGGGATGACAATACATGATAGTACAAGATGGTTTTGTTCCTTTCTCCAGAAAGAAACCTGCAGACCAGCAGAACCGGGTTTGTTATGAGGTTTCAGGTGTCACAACTGAATGTGGAAAAGTTTTAGAGGAGCAGGGAACTGAGACAAATGAAGTGAAATAACAAAGCAAAATTAACACAGGAGGAACTAAACTATGACTGACATAGGTAAGCATTAAAGAAACACGGAGAGCCAAATGGCAAAGGATAAAATAATCTCAATACAAGACAGAACTTTTTCTCAAGAAGAGAAAACTAAACTCAGAAGTCCTATGGATCATGACACGATTGTGTAAATCTACAGTTCACTGGACACAGTCTTTACTAGTTGAGACCAAAGCACCAGACTGAAGACTTTTATCATTCAGTTTTTGAGGGAAAGAGAGAAAAACGATAGCTCAAGCAAGGTGGAAATTATTTTTGTTTCTTTTAAGCTTTCATGCGATTAATTGATTTGTTGTTTATTGTGACAGGCCTAGACGTATTCCTGCCCTTGGATGTTTTAAGCTAACACCTGTTAGCTTAAACAGGTAGAGCACAAAAGAGCACTTCAAGAAAATTGTGTTAGCACTTATCAAAATGTCTGAGCTGACTTAATTACTTTAAAGCTAAGTCCTTGATGATCATATCACGTTGGACAAAACCTGATATCGATTACGCTGCTCCACGAAGAGCCACGTTGTACGTTACATAGCCCGGTGCTCCTGTGTGTGCGAAATATGCCGGCAAAGACACTCTAATGTCACATCGTTGTAATTCCACGTCGTCACACTTTACGGCACTTTTCTATTACATGGTACATTACAGTTCAGCGCTGATGGTTTTTCCGTGGCACACATAGTACCACTTTACTGTTACTTTTGTGGCAGTTATTTTATGTATTTCCTCGGCCGAGTTTCTGAGTGAGCCATAAAAATACTGTAGAGCAATATTACTTGTGGGTGAGAATAGCTCTTCAGCTGCGAATCAGATAACTTCGCTGGTTGCCTCAGCCCCTAAAATAAAGCATAAATCACGGAGCGTTTTATTTGTGCACACGGTTGGAATGTTGTGTGCATGACTAATGAGTGTAGCGCTGTTGCGAGCTCATTTGGTGCAATAACTACGCCCCGCTCCGTACAATCCTCAATCATAAATCGCTTTGGGTAAAACTGTAATTTAATGTAACAAATAGATGCACATACAGGGATGCTGTGTGTCTTACCTGAGCACGTCTTTAAATGTGTTGTGATGAAGAAATGGTGTTTCCTAATGATACGGAAGAAAAACTGTCAGCTTAATAAGATGAACCCAGCAAGACTTGCGGAGTCCAATCATCAGATTGCAATGTAGTGGAAAAACAGCTTTACATATTTGCTTGGAGTAAAGCATCTTGAATATAATGAGTCAATGGCATGTTTAATTATTGCAGAGGTAAATGAGTTCTTTATGCAGATGTTTTTGTTTTTTTAATAACAGATAGGCTACAGCAAAACAGAGCAATACTGAAGAATAAACAGTATTGTTTCGTAGTATTTTGAAGGAGGTTTGACCTGTTTAAATCTCAAACACTCAGTTTCCCAGTGA